TGAAATTATTTCTTCACCTAATAAAAACATAGTTCAAACCTAATAGAACTGTAAAGACTGCATTAATATATTGCTGGATATGTATGTAAGTTTATGTGGATAAACTATATGAAATAACTCAAACTTTAAAATGTGACTGAGTACATATGACTGAGCACACACATGTGTGTGTATACACACACACACACACACGCACAGAGTGTTATTTGACTTTTGGGGCTTGTAACAAAATATTTGTGATAGCTGAAAACCAGGGAAGGTTGGTTCAGGTTCACAGTTTTGGAAGTTTCAGTCCATGCTTGGTTCAGATGCTGCTTTTGCACCCGTAGTGGGACAGGACATCATGTTAGGAATTCATGGTGAAGGAAGATCTCATCTTGGCTATAGGCAAAATAGAGGAACAAAAGAGATTGAAGTCTCAGTATTTGTTCAAGGGCACACTCACGATGATCAGATCTCTCACTAAAGCCTTAAACATCAGTGCCATAGGCTGACAAGACACAGCTCAAACATACGGGTCTATTCCATGCACTTGCACACACATGGACACACACACACACTTCCAAACACATGTGCACACATACAAGCACATATCCAAACACACAAACATACACACATATACACATATCCAGATATGCATATGCACACGCATACACATCCAAACACATACATGTACACATGCATTCTCATACACACATCCAAACACATGCACACACGTACATATACACCCAAACACACACATGCACATACGTCCAAACACACATGCACACACATCCAAACACACATCTAAACACACACGTAATACACACAAAACGATTTACTGTATGTGTACCTTAATTGTCCTCAGGGTAGTTACTGCTATCAAGTTCAAAATCTATAAATCTAAAATACTATAGGTGGTCTGCTATTCTGTGCTCTCCTTCCTATAGTGGTTGTACTCCCCATCCCAGGGGCTTATTGTATTTTGGATATCACTTTGAACTTAGCACATATTTGTCTAATAGTACTATGAATATCCACATTCCATATGCTCTCCCGAGGACCTTTAAAATTTGGAACATTTGTTTTTGTTCTCTGTATCTCTCTGTCTCTCTGTCTCTTTCTCTTTCTCTGTCTCTTTCTCTCTTTACACAAATGCACACACGCACACGCGCACGCGCGCATGCACACACACACACACACACAGAATTCTAAATCAGTTGAGAGCAGTTTGGAAGGTAGACTCTTTTTCCTTGAAATTTTGGCATGTACTTTCTTAGAAAAAGAACAGACCTTCTCTTGTCCTTTCCTGGAAGTTGCTGCTCCCAGAAACATGCTCAGCAAGTCACTTGCTTTAGACACTTTTGGAGAGAAAGGGCTAGCCACACCTTAAGGCTGCTAGATAAGAATCATCAAAGACAGGGCTCTGGAATTTTAATATATTTTAAATCTGGGATGTACTCTGAGGCATTTAACATAAAGAGTTCAAAGTAAGTACTTTACAGCTTAAATACTATATACAGTATGGGGAGGTCAGTTGAAGCTGTAGGCAAAACAGAAAGAAATCAAAGTGGTGCACGAAATGTGGTCAAGAACAGTGGATTAAAGTTGTTACATCAAAAGTTTCAACATCACAAAATATTACGTGCTTCTGTTTCTAAATTCCAAAGTAGGAGGCAGAAATGCTTAAAACATGAAGCCATGCAAAATAGTTCAGAATATTGAGTATCCTGGCCCATTTACTTTCATGAGTCATTCTTTTCTGCCCTAGAACTCGGGAATTTTCACCCATAGTAGCTATCATTCTGTGATGGATTTTGTACTCATGATGGTGTCATTAATAACTGTGATTACATGAAGTATTTTTGTGCAGGGTTTTGTCCAGGCTTTACTATGCTTTTGAAATAAAATAACAAAAAGGGAACTGTGTCTAGAAGAAGAGTCCATAATTGCTTTCATTTTTCCCCAGTGTCACTGAAACAATGCAAATCTCCCCATGCATGTTGAAGGGGCTTTCTTTGAAGGGAAAAGTGCAGGCATTTCCTGCAGTTTACCTGGCAGTAAGGGCCTTGCACTTTATAGAGGGTTGCAGAATTGATTCAGGGCACTCAGTAGGCATCTGCAGAAACAAGAGTGATGAATCCATAATAGTCAAGCTTCCTGTCAGGGTTATGTGTTTGATGATATGAATCATAACAAAAACTAATTTCCTGAACAGCCATCTTATATTGAGATAGTTACTCCTATGGTCTGACTTCAATCTTTTCATGCCTGAAGTGAGTCTCTTGGCTTGGGCATATGAAATAATTCAGTTTTCCTTTACAATAGCTTTTGAATGTATTCCATTTTCATTTTTAGTGTCCAACCATTTTGATATGAAAGTTTATAGACATTTTTTTATCATTTTTAAAATGTAAATTGATGAGATTTTGCCCTTTAGCTTTGACTGTATTGTGAACTTGCTCTCATTAGCTTGCTGTGCTTCTAGCGTGCTCACTTTGATTCCATGAAAAGTCCCATCACTCTCTGGGCTTGCTGCTATGCCACAATCCCATTACAAGTAGTTAGAACTCTTCTTTCCCTATAGACTCCACCTGAAACACTATTTTATCAATCTGTTTTTGGAATTAGATTATCTCTACTTTTCACTTGAAACAATAGAAAACATAATACATATTTGTCGTTTGGAACATTTATCAAAGTTATTTGTATACTGAGTAATTTTGAATTATTTTTGTAAGGAATAGGAAATGTGTGTGGGTTCTTTTCCTAAAATCACACTTTAAACAGAGATTTTAAACCTAATGTGACTTTCATATGTAAGGCTTCTGGCTGCATTAGGAAGGTGTGCGTGCATTCATAGGCTTGCACTGGAAGTGCAGTAGTGCATTAATCGTCATTGACAAGCAGCTGTGTAATTACATTTCTGAAGGCCAACTTGAGTTATCACCTCACCATACTGTAATGTCACAATCAAACCATTGGCAACAGGATGGCAAATGGAGGAAAAAGAGATACATTTGCTCTTCATTTGTCAGAAAGCTGCTCTGCAGCACAAGAGAAGGCAAGTGATGATGTGAGTGAAAGCTGTTTGATGTTTCTCAAACCAAATGCATTGTATCACAGTATCACACTCTCACATCATCTTCCAAGTCATCTCCTCTCTAGGAAATAATCAGAGGTCTTACTTTATCTCTGAAGTGTTTGACCACAAGAAAGGAAGGAAACAAGCAGAAAGAAGAAAACTCTTGATTATGTACCAAATATGTATGTATGTATGTATATATATATATATATATATAGAGAGAGAGAGAGAGAGAGAGAGAGAGAGAGAGATTGGCTGTGTTTAAACTATTTAAAATGTCCTGAGAATGATCTGCTTTGACTTGCTGTTCCAATGCTTGCACCTACCAGATGATGAATTGCAGGATGAGTAGATTTGTAAGTTTTGAAATGTTTAAATTCAAATTCCTTAAAAGTTAACAATCTTTCAATTTTTTACTTGTAACTTTTTTTCGAGAATGGCATGAATGAGTACTCATTTATATCATTTCCACTCCCCCCTCCTCCTTCCAACTCCTCCTATTCCCCCAATCCCTATCAAATTTAAGACTTCTTTGATTGTTACTCTGTGTGTGTGTGTGTGTGTGTGTGTGTGTGTGTTTGTGTCTGTGTGTGTATGATCTACTTAATCTATTTAGGGTTACTCATGTGCACATGTGTTTATACAGCTGATCACTTGGTATTTCATATCTTATCAGGGGACTCGTCTCTGAAGGAAACTGATTGACCCTCTCTCAGCACCCACTGCTTGCCTGTAGCTGTTCATCTAGGGGTGGGGTTTGGCCTTATGAAATTCTCCCATCCCCATCAGCATGTTGACTGCTCTGGCCATTATGCAGGTCTTGCTTAGGCAACCATGTTGTTGAGATGGCAGGGGTGCAGCTTCCCCAGTATGTCTACAGGACACACTCTCATGCTAGACATCGTAGTCCTCTGGCTCTTACAATGTTTCCCCCTCTCTTCTGTGATGTTCCTTGAAAATGGTGGGTAGGACACTAAATGAGTAGGCAAAAGGGAGGGTAATAGAGAGGGAGAGGGAGGAAGGAGAGGTAAGTAACACTAACGATGTTAGAAAAAGTCATAGGGAACATATTTTGTAAGTTTACATAGTTTACATATATGGTGTGAGTATGTGTGTGTGTGTGTGTGTATACATATATATGTACAGTTTAAGTAGAGTTACACCACATGGAGTGATAATGCTCCCCCATGAGCCATAGACTATTTAACAAAAAACCCAGTGCCAGGTATGAGAAACCTCTCTTTTTGAGTGGTTAGTCAACTTCTGAAATAATATAGCCTGTTGCCATTGCCTTTGGCTTTTGAAAGTAAGACCCTGTTGCTAAGGACATCATACACTTCAGGCACAGGGCTTGGAAGAATGAAGCTTGAACTGACCTGGAAGCCTCTTCCCTAAGGACTGGCTCTCATAGTATCGAAATATGCTATGAAAGCTGCTGAGGGAGAAAAGTAATCAATACTCAGCCGAAAGGCCTATGAACCACAACAGTGACCAGCAAAATATCCCTAGTGATTCAGTAGCAATACTTTTTTCTTGGGGATAATCAAGAGTTGTCTAACCGAATCAAGACTCTTTCAATAGGAGGAAATTCATGCCTGTACTATAAACCCAGTCAACTATCCATGGCTAGAGAGGTCATAGACCCTAGAGAAAAACCTACTGTCATTTTCGTGAAGCAATATAATTTCTAATTGTATTCTAAACACTAATCTTGCTACCTACAGATAAGTACAGCACTCATTCCTCATCCAAGAAGCTTCTTTCTGCAGCAGATAGAGACCATCACAGAGATTCACAACTGGTCAAAATGCAGAGAATAAGTGACTGTGGGGTCCCCAACAATACCAACTAGTATATTTCAGACAATCCTTTATTTTAATCTGTTTTCTCGCATTTACGATAAGCAATAAAAATAAACACAATTTTTTGTCTAACTTGCACATACATCATTTAATGTAATGTCATAGTTTGCTACTTTCCATTTTAGAAACAGAAGAAATAAATTGAGCGCCATTCCTTATCACTTTGTAACCACTGTAGATAATGCTCCACCATTGCCTTCCCTTCTTCAATATTACTCTCGGTGATGAAGAACTGAGCTACTCCAGAGTCTCCTCACCAATGTGCTTGTATCATTCCCTTGGAGAATCATGAAATTTGTTTCTTTTCCAATTAAGCAAATACCACTGAGGTGAAAAAATAATGTAAAACTTGATTATAAGTGGACATGAATGTTGATCACCTGACTCTTATTTGAAGACATTCAAATTCTCTTCTATCACTTCAATAATTTTGAGAGAATTTTGTTAATCAATGGAAATGATGTTTGAATTTATTTTTAAACTAATTTCCTTAGAGTAAGCCTCAACATTTCATTTAATTGTAATCAAGGCATACAACTGTCTTAGAGTTAAAAGCTGATTTTTTTCAACTAAATGAGACTAATATAGAATTAGATATAAATTTCTGAGTGAAGAAATCATGCTTCTGAGTTTAGAAGCAAGGAAGAAGAGTAACTGTGAGCTATTTTGATAGCAGTGAAAATTAAATTAGGAGTAAAAACTAAAGACCATTTGAATCTAGTTTACTTTCCAAGTCTGCTAATTAACTTGGTGATTTAACAACAATATCTCAATTAAAATCACTTATACAAGAGTCTGTGTAGCTGTGATAATTAAACACGCTAGACTGTAAAACAACTTAATATACCATGGGCATTCCATAAACCTCCCATTTTTCTTTTCCTTCCTTCCTTGAGATAAAATTTCATCAGAAAAATAGATGAACAGAAAATATACAAACAACAAAACAAGGTATACAATTAATAAACATTGGAGATAATTGCAACAAAAATATTTCTTTGAAAAATACAATTATAATCACACATAGCTTTGGCTATCATAAGGCTTATGATCATTTAAAGCAAGAAAGGCTAGCCCAATAATTACAAGCAAATGTGTGAGGAAAGTTCCAGGAACAATAGGCAATCAGGGAATTCTTTGCAGACTTTGCATTTGCATTGGTATTCTTAAGTGACATTTATGATGAGAAATTAGGAATATGCAGATGATGACAGGATGTGAACTTCTTGCTCTAGAAAACAGAAGGGGGAAAGGCTCAAATTAGAGACAATGCTGAATTTGACAACCTAAAAATTAAGTTTGTCTTGGATAAGATGGGAGAATAAAGGTGTTAAGGACTAGGAGAGGCAGTGTGCACGGCAAGCTTGGGAAATACGGGCATTCAACATATGCCTTCTGGGCAATGGGAAGCCATGGGAGGTGTGTTGACTGTGTGGCTCTGAATCTGCACTCTCCTTTGCCTGTGACTTCACAGGACCCATTTACTCCTTCTTTGTCAGTTTCATTAGTTATAGGATAAAGAAGAATACACTGGTACCATTTTTTCTGATCCTAGGCCCCAAGAAGTCCTAAATCTAGCTCTGAGACAGATAAGGCTTCTGACCCATTTACTCCTTCTTTGTCAGTTTCATTAGTTATAGGATAAAGAAGAATATACTGGTACCATTTTTTTCTGATTCTAGGCCCCAAGAAGTCCTAAATCTAGCTCTGAGACAGGTAAGGCTTCTGGTCATATGAAAACCTAATGGACAGAGGAAGGGTAGATGTTTCTAGACTGGGTGTAACCAGCTTAGCTGCCTTTGAGCAGTTCACCTGCTAATGATTCGCCCAACATATACTGCTTTGAAGGCAAGCAGCTCACCTACATAGATAAGAGCAAAACTAGCCAGGTCAGCAGAGTCCATCTAGCCAAACTGAGTACTATAGGAGTGGGAGAAGGAATTTTTCTCTCTCTGATACTGAAATCACCTGAGGTTACAGACTACAGCGATATCTGCCCCTGATGGCTTTGAATCCCAGAGAATGTAAATTTTATTTTAACTTTTGCAAAATAACTTGATGCAGAAGAAACAGAAACAGCGAGAATAAGACTAGACAGAAAGATGACTTATGAGGAACTTGCTGGTCTGTGGTCAAGAAGAATATGGAGGTAACTGGACAGAGCAGGATAGAGAGGCATGCATGGACATGAGACCTATCTGAGGGCTACAATATCAAGAGCTCAGTAAATACTGTGTATCAATCATCATCATTATGGGTGTCAACCTGGGATGATTTATTTAGCATAGAAGATATTCCATGATTGTGATGAGACAGAAAAAAATACTGAAAGAATACTAAAGGCCTTTAGAAAAAGCCATATGGAAACGTACCACTATAGAACCTTATTAAAGTACATACATATACATTATAAGAAGAGACTAAAAGGAACTACCTTTTAACAAGGGAACATTGACCCTATTAGAAACCATAGGTTAACAAAATAAAAGCCCAATGCCAGGAATGGACTCTCTCTTTTTCAGATGTTGATCAGAATTCCCACAGAACCTCAAACAATATTTACCAACGACCCTTCTCTTGACTACCTACCAGAATTTGACTTAAGACTATATATGTATATATTACATACATGAGCTGTAGAACAAACAAGGAGAAGTTAAGCTGGTACTGACTTCAAAGCTTTACCCAACTGTGAATCCTGTGAGCTATGCAGTATAACCAACCATTTTCTAAATTGGATTTAAGGTCCCTTTCATAAGATGGAGCCCATACCTAACATTGATATCATGCCTAGGAACCTGTGGTTAGACAGGCCACAGACCATAGATGAGCCTAATACAATTATTCTTCTAAAAAGACACAGCATTAAACCGACTTTTAATGATTTATTGTTATAACCATAGATTGATTAATGCATCTTTCAACCTTCACCAGAGAGAGCTCCTTATGCAAAAGATGGTGATTAACACATAAGCTCTCAAATGGCCAATGTGCAGAGAACAAGACTGCAGAGTGCTTATCCTTGAATAGGACACCTATGTCAAACTTCCATCCCCCGAGGCTCAGGGATCAGGAAGATGGGACAGAAAGATTTTAAGAGGCAAGCTATCAACATACAGACAAATTTGGTTCCAGTTAATTCGTTTGATTATCTGTGTCTTTTAAAATAGCATTTTAATTGACTTTTGCACCATTAGTATTTATATTGGGCACTTCTCCGCTGGGGTGACAGAATACTCTTGTATATTATAGGTTGTTTAACAGCAACCTTGGACTTTACTAACTGGATCCTAGTAGTATCATATGGTTGTAATAACCAAATATATCTCCATGTACTGTCAAATTTAATCCTGTGAGGTGAAAATGTTTTGGGTGGAGAAAAGTTGCTTTAGAGTGTAGTTGATTTTCTTTTCAGTTGGAGAATAAATAAGTATAAATTTAATGAAGGTTTTGTAATACTGATGTAAAATATGTTTGAATAGCTAGTGAAATTTTATTCTTTTAAGAAGTTTAAGACAAAGTAACATTCTGGAGGTAATAAAAATGTTCTATATTTGCTTGGAGTATACATTACATTTTCCAGTCTTTCAACTCAGAACTATGTATTTTTGAAAAAAAAAATAAGTATAAGATTACATATTTACAAAAGGTATTCAAGTGCTTTTAAAAATTTGGGTGAGGGATTATTTAACTTTACCTTGTCAAACATATGAAAAATCACCGGTATGAGTAGTTAAATATCGAATTACGGTTTGAAATAATGAAAGGAATTTAATTACCTAAGTTTTATTTTATTTTATTTATTTTTAGTTGCATGTGTGTATTTTGTCTGCATGCATGTAAGTGCACACCATGTGTGCATTACTCATGGAGGCCAAACTGGGTGTGACATCCCCTGGAACTGGGGTTACAGAGGGTTGTTAGCTGCCATGTGGTAGCTGAGAACCAAACCCAGGTCCTCTGAAAGAGCAGTCAGTGCTCTTAACCACTGAAAAATCTCACTATCCCTTAATTACCTGAGTTTTAAGTGTTTTAAAGGACGTTTACTATGTTCAACGTAGGTTAATTGAACAATATTACAAGCATAATCTTCTGTGGCTTTTCTTTATTGCCTAGATTTAAATAAAGCTGCATAGCAATTTCAAAATTTGAACTTTAAAAGCTGAAGGGACTAGCATACATTTTTTAACTTGTTGATTAAAAAAACCTCAAAATCCTACATGACATAAAATTAAATGATACTTTAACGTTTAAAAAAATCCCCATTTCATTATTAAAATATGCTGTTTCATACAGAAAAATTCATTTTTAATGCAACTAACACTTAGATATTTGCATATGCATCTCTAATCTCTATATATCTGATTAGTACTAGTCACAGTCGGTTACTTTCTGAGATCCTTGGCACCTGAGCATGGATATAAAGTCATCAGGTAGATTTCAATATTGTATAACTGTATTAATTCGACTGTAAACCTAAAAATTTACAGCCAACTTTGAAAGAGATGCTTCTTAGCTCTGGAAATTGTTATTGAATATGTCAATGCTGTTGTAATGAAATGCTTCTTATAATTATGTGGTTATTACATAAGTAATTAAAATTTTTTTGACATTTTAAAAAATAATTTATTGAGAATTTCATACATGCATATAAGGTGTTTTGATCAAATCCATGCCCACTCCCTCCCCTCTAACTTCTCCCATATCTCCCTATCACCTTTTTCTGATAACTTCATGACTCTTTCTTCTTTGATTTATTTATTTTTATGGGGCTTTGGCTACTCTAACATTACCCCCTCTGAAGAGATAACTCTACAATCTTTTAAGGATTAAATACAAGCTCCCAAATACTTTCAACATTTTTGGCTTTTGGAACAAAGTATGTTGCTAAGAGGCCCAAGGACATTCTGACTTTTAGCCAAGAAGCTGGCTACTTTTCTTTGGGGTCTTTTTACCCTAACTGCCTAGCCAATTCCTACCTCATATTCTTATCACACCATCCACTGAAGGGGTTCCCCAAATTGCCAATAGGGAATAGGGACACAGATTGCTCTGGCTTCTTCCATGCTGAACAGCGACGCAGGGTGAGGCAATTGGAGTACCCCTAAAATTGAAGACATTTATAATGAATTATAATACCTACAATAATCCAATTGAATATTGGTCAAATATAGGTTAATCTTTGTTGAATATGACTTAAGTTCACTTGCTGTTATCTTTATTTTCCCTTTCCTACCTACCTATGATGTGGTTATTCTGATTTTAATGAAGAAAGGAATGTCAAACACTGAGTAAATCTCTATGAAGAGATATTTATTTTAACCACTTCTGTTACAAGCAACTTAGAATTTCTCCAAGAGTTTTAGTGGCTAGAAATTAATTGATATTTGTGGCAAAGCAAATGTGTTAAAACTCAGTTGGTGGGTTTGAAAGAAATCAATGTCTATGCCATCACAGTACTCAGTAATTACTATGATTTTTAACTTTCACTGTGTTAGAATTGCATGTGAGGCCAGAATATTCCAAGCAATGGGTGTCAGATGTGCAAACGTCTGGAGGTATTTTAAAAAATTTCCCTTGCTAAGCATTAAAGATGGTTAAGTATGGTGAGAATGTAAGGGAATTACTAGGGGTGAAGTCAGAGCTTTGGGGAGGGGCACATTATGTAGGGACTTACATGCTGAGTCAAGGGGTCAGAAGTTTATTGTTCGGCCTAAATAGGAACATTGAAGGGGAAAAAGCAATTGTAACTTTTTAGAAAGGTCGTTCTGGATGAAATATGCATGGGAAGGTGAGAAGATTATCTGGAAAAAGGAAATGTGCAAACGTTTCAGAGAAGTTACCTTACTAAAGTCAGAGCTTTGGGGAGGGGCACATTATGTAGGGACTTACATGCTGAGTCAAGGGGTCAGAAGTTTATTGTTCGGCCTTAATAGGAACATTGAAGGGGAAAAAGCAATTGTAACTTTTTAGAAAGGTCGTTCTGGATGAAATATGCATGGGAAGGTGAGAAGATTATCTGGAAAAAGGAAATGTGCAAACATTTCAGAGAAGTTACCTTACTACAAAAGACCCAAGAATTTCATCTTGTAAACTATTTTTTTTATTTATTTATTTTTATTAAAAGAAGCTTTTCATTACAACAGCATTAACCTATTCAATAACATTTTTCTGAGCTAGGGTACATCTCTTTCAAAATTGGCTGTACATTTCTAGGTTTACAGATAAATT